GCCTCCTGCACCCAATATCCCTGTGGCATGGGCATGTTGAAATCGGAAAGGTTCTTTCCAAACGACTCGAGCATGGCCTGGTCGATTAGCCACAGGCACAGATCCTTTACAGGATCAGCAATGCCAGGGGGCGACACCATTTGTTCTAAGCGGAGGGGCAGGTCGTCAGATAGATGTTGGAAGAACTCGTCCCATAACGCCATAGGATTGCCTACATTCCCAAAGACCAGGGCCTAGAGGAAGACGCGACGTAACTCAGGAGCGAGTGCCGAATGCTGAAGCTCAAGAAATATATACCGCCATAATCCGTCCTCAACTAAGAGATTAAGAGCCGAACAGGCGTCCTTAAAAGTAGGTTGGATCTGACCGTTAACCGTGCGGAGATGTTCAAAACTGATTGCGCCTAGGATTCGCGTAAGAAGCATCCTAAGATGGAAACGCTCCCCAGAGGAAGGACTGCAGAAGTAGACGCGACCAATAGAGTACTGATCACGTTAGAACCAAGTCCATTTACCACCGTCTTTCCCTAGATTCCAACGATACCGGGTCGGGAAGTCCTAGTAAAGAAGATCACGCCCATCCACGTGGAGGGCATTATACTCTAACCATCCCATTAATGACGATCTTTTCTGTTCAACTGCAATCTCCACCTGTTCGGCACCGTCCTCGTCATGAAAGGTGACCATATGCTGTCCTGGTAAATGCACTGCTAATCAAATAACAGAAGGCTTCTCCTCATAAACCTTAAACTCCATTAATCGCCAAACAGCCTCAGTCAGTCCAATATAGCGCATGTTCAGATACTGGGCGACCTCGTCCCCTTGCTAGATACAGATAACAACCTAATCAGTGCCCTTGTAGATATACTTATGTATATATTTAACTAACTTCACAGAGGCACAGACCTCCACGTTAACATGTGCGTTGTACTTACGCGAAAGGTATGGACTGTAAGGCACTACCCAGCAATTATCAACCACAACGTCCTGACCACGACACTTTACGACCCAAGTTGAACCAGGTCGACGCCGATATATAGGATAACCGTCTCCACCAACCAGAGTCTCATTAGCGTATTCCTTTAGGAATCGCTTCTGACAGGTTGCTTGGAGAGAACGCTCTGTAGTCTGCATACAGGGCATGCCGGGATTTAAGGTTCCACATAGCCCATAAACCATAGTAGTTTTGACAATGTTACTTAGGACTCCATCTAGATCTTAAGCCTCCGTAGGGAGCTCGGCCCATATAACCTGATTGATAAAGTTTGGATCAAGGAACCAATCGCGGTAATCGTGACGTAGGAAGAGTAGAATGTGAGCATGAGGCAAACCCCGCTTCTGGTACTCAATAGTATACACGATACCAGTATACCGGCCAAATACATAGTTAGTCCGGAGGTCTGCAAGGAGGGAGTCGAGACGCAGCTTGAAAACGCGCGCGACCAGATCTGGCCGATCTAATGGCTGAAAGGACGTACTAATCTCCCGCTCTAACTCCAGCCATTTAGGATTGGCGGTAAAAGTGATGAACAAAGCAGGTCGACCAAGCTTTCAAACAATGGCCATAGAGTCCTAATAACACTGCGTAATAAAGCGACTGCTGCCAATGTAACTCGAAGGAAGAACAGTCCGAATCCCAACCGAATCAGCCTGAAAGTTGTCCTGATCTAATGCATCACGCACTCCTTAATATAGATCAGCACGTAACTGTCCCTGATTTGCTGCGATCCACCGTAACTTCCTCTGTTCGCACTAAGCCCAGCAGTCGACAACAAATTGCTGGAATAACAGACCGTAATCGAAAGGCACAATAAGACTGCCACGCCGGGGAAATAGGTGGAATCGGTAATACTTGGAATCGGTCAGAGTATCCCGGGTGCGAGACATGCGTGAAGTACGCAGCTGTAAACCATAGTGAAACCCAAGGGTACCCCATGGGAACATCAAAACGTAGTGGAGAGGCTGATATGCTGCATGTGTATGTTTGATCCTTTGGTATAGAGACCGACGGTGTCTTAGATCAGGGCCAGGTCGGTAGTGAAGAATAAGATCTTGGTTATAATCCTCAACTGGCTCGTCACGGACCAGAGCAGCAATCTCCTCAGCAACAGGCAGGTTCTCTCGACGTCAATCGGCCCCGGCCTGCACAATCAACTGCAGTTGTGGATTAAGAGTAATCTGCAATTCCTCGTCTTGCTCGTGAGCTTGCTGCAACCGCTCATGTGCAGTTTTGTACATCTTAATCCAAGGATTGTTGCAATCTGTCTCGACCATCTGTAGCAGCTGCGTGAGTATGGTCAGATCGAGACCACCATTGGCCCGATGCCCCATACGCGCACTGTTGGCCTGGGCAGGATCGTAAAAGTACAGCTGTGCGTAGGAGGGGACGTCCCCCTCAGCAGGCTCCAATGGGCCGTGCATATGGTACATCTCCCCCATAATCTGAAAAACCTTTACGCCTATGCCACGCGCACCCCGATCTGTTTGTTTGTAGTTGGCTGACGTAAAAGCCAAGGCTGCGTTGTATAATCAAAGATGCTTCTGAAAGGATCCGCTAAGTAGGTGCCCGCCCTGCAAAAGACGACGCAGGAATAGAGGTAGATCTGGAAAGGTTGGAAGGTCGATATCACCCATTAGGCAACATATAGAGTACTGAGGAGAATCTGCCCGACTCTTGTTAACCCGCTCCTCAGGCCAGTGAAAGGCACTGCAGTTAGGACAGCTGCTTATAGGATTCCGCATCGGACCAAAGTCGATAGGAGCAATATGGTCCACAGTAGCAACAATATATGCCTCTGGCAAATCGTCCTGTGAGAGACTGGCCCTTAGTTGCTCCCGATCTCTACGCACAGATGGGGATGGGGCAGGCTGATCTGGAGTGTGTTGAGAGGGTGGGGATTAGACAGGTCTTTGTAAGGTTGGCTGTATATTATGATAATGTATACGTATAGACAGCGTAGGAGGAGTGGAAGTTGGCGTGAAGGACTCGGGAGGGGTTGATTGTATATTACAATGGATCCGGACAGATGGCGTAGGAGGAGTAGAGGAGGGCGTGAAAGTCTCAGGAGGGTCTTAATATGTATGAAATAATCAATTAAGCACTGGCGTTCTGCTCGATGCAGTGTCACGCCTAGCATGTGCAGGTCGGCCCCGGCATGGACCCGATCGGACTGTAGTAGCGCGAGCTCGAACGCGTTTCGAGGGTCGTGCATTAGAGTCAACATCAGCTAATGGCTGACGCGCCTAGATAGAACCAGATATAAGCGCTAAAGAATATAACAATTGTAACAGAGCAACATACTGCACGGCCATGTCTGTTGCACTGGCGATAGGGAGCTCTAACTTTATTAGTAGGGAAGTCAGAGAGGGGTCTGTAGTCATTGCAGACTGGGCAGAAAGTAGGCGATGAGTCCATATAGCAATAATATAAAGGGATAACACTGTATGATAGGAAAGGGAGGACGGGTCGAGGGAGGAAGGTACCGATCGAAAAAAGTCAAAGCAGATCAGGGATGGATCAACTTTGAGTAGATCAGGATCCTGCCCGTTGAAACAGGGCGCAGCAAGGCCCATGCTACACTGAATAAATTTGTTCCTCTAGGGTCTCCAGAAGTATAACCCTTTCCAAAACAGCGTCCTTATCAAGTTCAGGAAAGGACTTGATTAGGCCAGAAACCTCCAAGAAAAAATCCTGCATGAGGAAGAATTCAAGCCATCCAAACCCATTATCCTGAGCAATAGAACGCCTCCAAGCCCTCACCCCCCGTGCGACAGTTTGTAGTATGCGAATATGCTCTCGATTTTGATATGATCGGTATGGCTCCATAGCTTAAAGAAAAGAGGAAACGGTCAAAAGTGTTTCGCGTTGGGCTGATATCATGTCGGGTGTAATCTCAAGGCCTTCACGATCCTTTGTGGAGGTTAGTGGATAACGTAGGATAACCCGATACACTCACGTACATTGCAGATAGCCATAATACAGTAGCTTGCCGTGACTTATTGTTGTTGTAAAGTAAGGTCAACTAAGGCTGCAAAGGTATCGAAGCAGATAATGTCTGGTCAGGAAAGATCAGAACAGGTCGGAGCAGATGTAGAGCCGAAGCCCAAAGTCGCACTACTGTTTCGCTTAACCAGGGGGAGATCCTCTGGAACCCCCTTTTCGCCTGCAGCGGGCTTTGCTTGGAAGGTCTTGGCAGAGCCGATTACATTTAGCGGGAAAAATTACACTGTAGAAGTGATTTTTACACCCCCGACCGTGCGGTAGTCGATCACGATAGGAAAAAAAGAAGACCGGATCAAGCATGTAGCATAGCAGAACGATTACTTGAAGCTTAAAAACAAACAGTAACGCGGCTTTTTGGTTACCGATTTTCTACCAATCAAATCAATAGCCGGCTTATATCCGGACCAATAGGAGAGAGGGCTTGGCGGTAGAGATAGTGTAATATTTGATTAAGTCTAAAACGCTGTTAGCTACTTATTACCCTTTACTATCTTTAGCTTATTAAAGGCAGTAATAATATCTAACTTTATAAAATACTTTACTTTACTTAGTTAGCTTAAAGTTTTTTATAAAAAGAAAATTAGGTATTAGTTTTTAATAGTAACAGCATTTAGTTTTTAGTAGTTAATATAGAATTAAAGCCTACTTTTAAGTTTCTTTATAAATAGTATAAGTAACACTACTAGTAAAGAGCTAGCTTAAATAAACTCTTTTTTTAGGTTCTTATTAAGGTATTTTTAAAGCACTTTTAATTTATTTAGTAACATTTTATATAGTAGCCTATAACTAGGTTGTTTACTAGGCTTAAGAGTTATCTAGTAATTATATAGATGTTATATTAAAAGCTTATTAGACTTATTTTAAAAGAAAACATGTAATAAGTTATAGTAGTCTTAAAAAACTATTATTTTTAAGTTAGTATGTTTTTAGGGAGCTAAAGCTTAGTCTATATTAGAAATTATAACTACGTAGATTTTGTAATCTAGTTATTAAGCTAGGGTTATAAATAGGGCAGGTTCTATGTAGTAGATGTCTATCTACTGTTTAAGTCCTAGTTTGTGTTTAAATTAGGTAGGTAAAGGTTTTTTAAAGGCTTTTTTTTTTTAGGTTTAAGCAGTTGTTAAATTATTTTATATAGCTTATTTTAGTAAAAGGCCTAGCTTATTAGCCTTACTTAAGTAGTTCTTTTTTAAGTTATTAGAAAGTAAGTCTAGAGACTTTTTATATTAAGTGCTATTTAGGTGTTATTTAAGTGTAAGCATAAGTATACATTTTAGCATTAAAAAAAGTTAAAGTTTAAAACTTACTTTTAGTAATTAAAAGCAACTTTATGCTAATACAGCTATAGTTGTTCTAGAATTAGGTTATAATATTTTGTGTTTATTACATAGAGCTTAATCTGCTTCTTATAGTGTTAGTAAGTAATTATAATAGTTATAGTATAAAAGATAAAACCTTTTTTAAGTTATTTTTTATTAAATCTAGTTAAGTAAATTATTTAGGTAAGTAGTGTTAATTAAAGATTTAGTTTATCTACTAGTTTTTTATTAATGTAACTTATGCTATTTACTCTTAAGTTAATAAGAGCTTATATTAGAGCTAATATAGTTTTTTGTTATAAATATATAAGAATATTAACTTAGTACTTCTAGTTATTAGTAAGGGACTTAGCCTATAGGTTAGTAAAGATCTAGTGTTAAATTAGTCCTAAGAGGTAACTTAGCCCTAGAACAAGCCTTTTTGCAGGCTCCTACTGCTATAGCTGCGGCTACGTTAAGAGTAGCAAAGAAGATTAGGGCTTAAATATAAGTTAAAGCCCTTATAAAAATAAAATTAAAATAGTAAAAATCTTTAATAAGTGCTAGCAGCGCTACTTATGTAGACTTAAAAAAGAGAAATAAAGCAGTTTTAAAAAATATAACTATACTTACTACACTTAAAGTATTAACTTTTTTTCTTATAATTTTTACACTTTTTAAAACTAACTAAAGCATAATTTAAATTAATTTTTATTACATTAGAGTCTTTATTTATAACTGTGCTAGTTTAGGGGCGTATTAAAGCTTGTACAGAAAGGAACCTTATGTTATTATTATAAGTAGCAATTAAGTTTGCATACGCGTTAAAGTTGTTTAGAAGGGGTTCTTCTACTATAGCGTGTTATAGTTTAGTTAAGAGGGAGTTATATAAGGCTGTAATTAGACTTATTTTATTTAGGCTTATATTAGATGTAAGTTAGTAAAACTTAGTAAAGTATAAAGTAAAGCTTTTCTTTTCTTATTATAAAGTGTTTAGGTAACTTAGAGCTGTTAACTTTTTATTTAAGTCTTTATAAGTTACTTATAAAAACACTATAAATTAATTTAGGTTAATAATATTTTTATTTATTAGTAAGTTAATTAAGGCTATTATATTATAGTTAAGTTAAAAGTAGGTATATAGTAACTAAGAGTGTTTAGAGAGGAATTAGTCTACATTTTCTTTAAGTTTATATTAGAGCTTGTGTAAAAAGAAAAGTAGGTCTTTTTATTTTTTATTAAATAGTAGAGGATTAGAAAGTTAGTTAGATTTTATTACTAAGTTAAAAAAGTTATAAGTTATAAGTAGTGTTAGGTAGAAAAAAGTTAAGCTATCTCTAGACTTTTAAGTAGGCTTTAAGGCTAGTAAGTTTTTAGTTCCTACTACTATAATAAAAGTTAAGGCAGAAATAGACTACTTAATAATATAAAGTAATTTTTTAAAGTCTTTTTAAAAAGCTTTAAAGCTTACAACATAGTAGCTTTTTTATAAAGTAAGCGCTTTTTAAAAGGCTTCTTAGCTTACTTTAATAGCTTAAAGTTATATAAGTACTAAGCTTATTAAATTAAATTTAAAGGCTATTCTTAGCTAAAGTTTTAACATAATGTAATGTTATAATTATGCACAAGTAAGGTTATAGAGCTTTATAGAGGTCTAGTTTAATTACTACATAAGGTATTATAGTAAGTACAAGACATTATGTAAGAAATAAAAAGGTTTAAGAGAAAATTAGTAATTAAATACTTAGCTTAAAAGTCTAAGCGCTTTAAGTATAAATTAAGCCTATTCTAGGTTTAGTTAGTGTTAAGGCAGTTTGTGCTTAAGTTTATGTCTGTGTTGTGTTGTGTTTGTGTCAGACGTGCACTAATAATACTCTAGTACGCGTCTAATACAGTTATGTCTGGGATCCGGGGAGGATACCGTGACATAGTGTGTTAACTAAAGGTAGCATTTAACTTATCTACTGCTGCTTAAGTTATATTACTATTACATAATAATATTAAGGCATTAAATATATAAATTTAATAGTAAATTAATAACTAAAATTAAAAATTATTATATATACTACTTAATTTTTTTTATATAAAGTTATTTATTTTTACTAATAAATTATTTATAAATAATAAAAACTTAAGTT